TGGCATTTGTAGTTACTACGGATGCAAGCCAGTATGGAATTGGCACAGTGCTGCAGCAAGATGACGGCGATGGCCTACGGCCGCTCGAATACCACAGCAAATATGCCCAGCGAAAAGGTAGCCACTTCCACCTACATGCGCGAGCTCTATGCTTTGCGTATCGCTTTGGATCATTCCATTGGAAGCAATATCTTTTGGGACGCCACTTCAAAGTGTTCTCAGATCATGAGACTCTGAACTGGATCAAAGAGCAAACTACCTTGTCCCCTACCTTACTTCGCTGGTTCCATGAAATTGACATTTTCGACTTTGAGTTAATGCACAAGAAGGGTTGTTATAATCGAGTTGTTGATGCATTGTCTCGCCACCTTGAGTACACGACTTGCCTTGTGAATTCCTACTACCTCCGAAAAAAACTGAAGGAGGAGCTCGTAGAGCACACTGCCAAGGATCCGGACCTTAGTCCCATCCTTGAGTAGCTGCGGGCTGATCCCGGCAATCAGCCTGATTTTCACGAGTATGGAGGACTGGTTTTCCGTCGCTATGGGAACCACGACCGTTTGTGTGTGCCCAACCATGAGCGTCTCCACACGCACTTTCTGGACTTGGCTCATGGCCGGAGTGGACACTTCGGCATGGCAAAGACATACGGAAACCTATTGAGACAGTTTGATTGGCCTGGCATGAAGGGATCTGCTGAAAAGTTTCTGGCCGAATGTCAAGTATGTCAACGAATCAAACCATGGCCGGAGTGCACACTTCGCCATGGCAAAGACATACGGAAACCTATTGAGACAGTTTGATTGGCTTGGCATGAAGGGATCTGCTGAAAAGTTTGTGGCTGAATGTCAAGTCTGTCAACGAATCAAACCATGTAGACAAAAGCCCATGGGGTTACTTACACCCCCTCCCATTCCCGATGGTCCCGGGGAGTCTGTCTCTATCGACTTGAACGACATGGGAAAGGTAAATAGAAAAGGTTACTCACAAGTCATGGTGATTGTTGACCGCTTCTCTAAATTTCTTAATCTAATTCCTTTGCCATCTCATGCTCTATTTGAATTGGTGATCTGTGAGTTCAAACAGAAGTACATTCTGCAGTTCGAAACCCCGAAAACTCTCGTGAGTGATCGGGACCCGCGCTTCATCAATACTGAATGGAAAGACTTCACGTCCCAACTCCTTGGCCTCAAGCTATGCATGACATCTGGCCGACACCCCGAAGCCAGCGGTTTGGCTGAGGAAATCAACCAGACTGTGTTCCAACTTCTCCGCGCTTTAATGCTTCCGGATTAGGAAACCTGGGATAAAGAGTTGTATTCCGTCAGGGGGTTGTACAACAACTCCATCCACTCTGCCACTGGCATGACACCAAACAGGTTGCATTGCGGCTGGCAGATTCGTAATCCGCTCTCCTACCTATTCCCTGAGCAGCCAGCTGGTTTAACACTCGGCAGGCCTGGCTTCAGGGCCAAGTACGATCGCGTAGGCTTCAAGGCCAAGTACAATTGCTTGCTCAAAGTTGCCATTGCAGCAATGACCAAGCGACAACACGCCGTGATCCATCATGCAAACAAGAAGCGCCGACCTTCAGATATTGAGGTGGGAAGTTATGTCTGGGTCAAGATGTCTGAATTTTCAAAAGAAGAGGAAGTCTCACGTAAACTTCTCCCACTCTATTATGGTCCGTGGGAAGTTCTGGATGTGATTGGCAAAGATAGCTTTGGCCCTTCATACGTAGTTTGCTGTGCCACCTCATCTGCGCACATATCCCGTGTTTCATGCATCAAAACTGTTTCTCCACCATGATGCTAAGTCGTTTGATTACCGTGAAGACATGATTCCTCGTGTAATCAATGGCGGACATGAGATAGACAGAATTAAACAGCACGTAGGGAAGCGACGCAACAGAGTACCAGGTTCATTTCATGTACCACCCGCTGGATGATCTATACTGGATTTCCAAGCAGGAACTGCTGCGCAGCGCAACACGCGTTGTGAAAGCCTACGAGCGACAAATCGCCTCTAATGATGCACCTAAAATCTCTGCCAAGCTCACTGCGACAGACTATTCTTGAAATCTCTTTGCCTTGTTTGCCTACGATGCGTTTGTCGAGGACTCAGAATGAGTTACTCGCTCGAAGGGACCTCGCTCTTGAGGGGGGAGTAGTGTGATGACCCGACCAAACATGGACTGAAACACACGACTGATTTCTGAGTTTTGCTCATTGACTGAATCCCTTGCTGAGTTTTCCGCTTGCTACTAAGTCTGTGTGTGTGCACGCTTGCTGGACTGCATGTCTGTCTAAGTGCTGGTTGGCTTGAGTGTGTGTGTGGCCCGTAAGGGCACTTGTACGTTCGTTGGGCCCTCAGGGCCGGTACTTACAGTGGTCGTGGCATTGAGGATTGCAGCGGAGGGAAAACACTCAAGTGGCGGGAAAAGAGGCCCGCAGCACTTGAAGCAGCGGGGAAACACTAAAGTAGCAGGTAGGCCGGTACCACACCCTGAAGCGGTAGATGTGCCGGGTACTGGAGGCCGAGCAGAAGAAGACAAAAGTGGCATTTTTAGAGGCCTAGTAGGTAGGTGTAGGCTAGGTCTAGGCGGGTACCAGTCTGAGTCTAGGGCCTGTACGGGCAATATCAGAGTCTGCAATGATGTTTCCCTCCAAAAGGGAGGAGGTACCGGTTGCTTGGGAGGCCGAGCGGCCTGGAAGTCACCGCCCGAGAGGCAAGCAGGCCACTATATCTCCGGGTCGGGCGAAGAGCCCAGCCTCATTGTCGGCGTGCAAGTTTGGCGACACACTGGTTGGAGCGCTGGCTGGAGCAGCACTAGCTTGGCGCAGCGCTGCTGGGGAAGAAGCAAGGCCTGGGAGGAGGAAGAGGGACAGGAAGGGGGAGGAGCGCCAAAGGTACTTACCTGGCTATGGTGGCAGCCATCTTCATCACCTTGGTGGGCGCTGCAGCAGGGAGACCCCAGCTGGGGAGAGCTACACCAAGAAGCTTTGAGGCAGAGTCAGGCATGGCGGCCTGAGCTAGAACAGCCATAGCTGCTTTGCGTTGTCCTTTGCACAGCAGGGCAAGTCCCAAGTAGTCCGCCATAGCCTCGGCCTATGAGAGTGAAGAGTGAGGGAGGCGACCATGGCTATGGTGGACCTCAAGTGATACCAGCAGTAGAAGAGGGATTCGGACATTGATTCTGGTTCAGCCATTCAACATTGTATTATTATTTCTTGTGTGAATAAGAGAGGAGGAGATAAGGAGGAAGAGAGAGTTGGGTGAAGAAGAAGAGCTTTGTCATTTGTCAATGCTGGTGTACATCATCTTCTTCTTCTTTCTTACTTCTTCTTTCTTACTTCTTCTGTCTTACTTCTTCTTCTTCTTCTAACCTTCTCTCTCCTCTCAAGTTCACTCATTTCTTTCTGCAATTGGACGGCATTGTACTATCTGATGAACGTGTATCTCGAACTTGGCCAGGATCATAACAAAATGAGAAAATTAAAAAAATTCCAAAAAGTTGACAGCAGCGATTGGGTTGCGTATCCCGCAAGATTCATATAGACAAGAGTGACAAGACAGAAAAAGTGTCAGAAAAAAAAGTTTAGGAACGAAATGGATAAGGGGTAAGGGATGTATATGTTTGAGGGGACGCTCACACTGCGGTACCAAATCCGCATAATAATCCCCAAAATCCCAAAAAAAAATAGTGTCGAGGGATGGTCACACCAGGATGTCATTTTCCCAAAAAAAATACTTGTGACCTACGTTGTTTTACCGGACGTCCGGGACCCCCCTGACCGTCCGGGATGTCCGACCGGGCGTCTGGTCGGACGTCGGATCGGACAGGGGTTGTCCGACCTAGCGCCAAACCAACCTTGCATAAGGTGTATGCCACCAAAATTTGGGCTCATTTGAGCCAGTACAAAAAAAGATAAAAATCTTCAAAGTTTCTAATCCCTACCTATACCCCTCCTATCCCTACCAAAACCCCTCGTACCCCCCCCTCCCACCCCAAATAGCACCCTATCACCAAATGCTCAGAAAATTCTGAATTTTTTTATGGGGGATCTCTATGGCATGCGCAACACTTTCATCATTTTTTTTTTATTATTATTTTTTTTTAATGTCAAAAAGTGGTTGTCCGGGATCCCGGACAACCCCCCTACCGGACGGTTGGGGGAGACGTCAGGCCGAGACATCCGGCCATTGGACGACTGGTAACCTAGCTTGTGACCCCGTTTGTCAGCGGCCTGAGGGGCTGCGGGGGGTTGGGAATTTGCGGTACCGAATCCGCATAATCCCCAAAATCCCGAAAAAAAAAAGTGTCGAGGGATGGTCACACCAGGATGTCATTTCCCCAAACAACTAACTTGTGACCTCGTTTGTCAGCGGCCTGAGGGGCTGCGGGAGGTTGGGAATTTGCGGTAACCTCGGGCGGTCGCCGCAAATTCCGTTTCTTGTTTGGAATCAACCTGCGGACATGGAAAGCAATTCGAAGACGAAGATATTGCCAGGAAATGCGATCTCGCAGTGTCAAAGAAGAGGACCCAACCCAAATCCAGGCGGCCGCAACCTTGTCTGTTGCGAAATGGGGAAGCAGTGTGACCGGTCCAGCCACTATTTTGCCATTTTTATTAAGAAAATACGATTTTGGGTATGCAGTGTGAGCGTGCCCTGAGTAGGCAGAGTTTGTTACTGATCCACGGTGAGGACTGGTGCTTATTGCAGAACATGAGCACCGGGCTGAACTCCCATGTCCTTTTGTCAGACAGCCAAGAAAGAAAGAGAAAGAAAGAAAGAAAGAAAGAAAGAAAGAAAGAGCATTTCATTTCTTCTGTTGGCTTATGGAGAGTTGGAGAGTACAAAAGGTAGCAGCAGTCTCAATGTATCTGATCAAAATGCTGTCCAGATGCATTTAAAATGATGTTTTTTGAAGTGGTGGAGTGAGGGCCTCTATTTCATTCTGTAGGCAGCGGCAATGAGACCTCCTGTCAGATTGTCACCTCTTCACAGTACTTGATGTCAACACTCTCATAGATCTGTCGATGCTGCTCCACAAAAGCCAATGCCTCGCACACGGGCATCCCTGCCGTCACAATTCATACATACCCCCACACACGGAACTCGAATCAGATTATAGACTTTTCACAACGGAATCCAAAACGGATTAGGGAGCTTTTCACAACGGAATCCAAAACGGATTAGACTTTTCAAAAAGGAATCAAAAATGGATTAGACTTTTGAGTCCATTTACATACCATACACAAGGAAACTCCAAACAGATTCGACTTTTCAAAATGCAATCCAAAACGGATGAACACTTTTCAAAACGGAATAAAAAACGGATTAGACTTATGAAGTCATACATACCACACGCAAGGAACTCGAAACAGATTCAACTTTAATCCAAAACGGCATCCAGATCGGAATTAGACTTTTCAAAAACGGAATTCAAAACGGCTTAAGACGGAATTCAGAACGGAATCCAAAACGGATTAGACATCTGAAAAAAAGGATCCAAAACGTAAGAGAGTGAAAAGCAATGGCCAAGTTGCTTCTCGTAGACGCAAGCAAATTTTACA